TAGAGACAAGATACATACCTGGTGCATGAGGGAGGTCGGCTATGGTGTTGACGTCATGTACATTGGTCTTCAAGGTTGAAGAGAGCCTGTTGCGTGAACGCTGGTGTAGTAGGATAGGCGAGTAGTGTAGGCTGGGCGCTGGGCGCCAGACAGAGTAGGAGCAACATTGGATACAGTGTTGGTGTGGCCTGAGGGCTTGGACATTGGCTCGTGAGTTCATTGTATTGCTCTTATCTGGATGGAATCTTGGTGCATTTGCACTCTTTGCTCGCACATGACTACTTGGACATCTGTGTGATTTCGCACCTTGGTTTTCTGTATATCGCTCTTGCCCATATTCCTTGCAATTTGGTATCGGAGCTGGTTCGGATATCGCCATTCTGCGCTGGTGTCTTAGTTACTTGGTGCGTGGACGAAGCTTCTATGCAATGAGGATACCTTGGCGCTGGTTTGATTAGCCCCACCCAGGTAGAGTGAGGGGCTGGAAGGCTGTGACGACAGCGGATGTGTGTGGAATGATGAAAGCATGCTGACATGGCATTTTGGCTGAGGTGGCACGACATTGTGTTGTTTGTGGTACCGAGGCTGTGACTGGTCATCAAAATGCACGTCGGCTCAACTGGTGAGAAATCTATGGTTGGGGGCAGCAATCTTCAGGTACGTTGTTCACTTACCTTATCTTCCCTCTCAATCTCTTCTTACCGTGAGGAAGTGAGTCCAACTTTGAGTGTCCTCCCTTTTGTGTAAGGAGTCGTGAGCGCTCTACCTTGAGAGACGATATTCTTCCCGGTGGCGCATCTAGCAGGAGAGGGCAGTGCCTCTGAAGGGCTTTGGTCGAAGCACGGGTCACGGTCACCATGCCAACCCATGGGAGTAGTACACTCTGGCCATGCTGCTTTGTCCATTGAAGGCTCTTTGCTGCGCTAATAGAGGAAATGTGGACTGACCAGTCCTTTGCAGACGCTTACCAGACCGTCTATAAATTCTCTGGCGCGGATCTGATCTGTCCACTGGCTGTGATCGCCGTCCTGTCTGTGACGTTAAATAATTCCCGAGGACCTTAGGGGCTGTCCTTAAACTGCCTCTTGATCAGACAGATTAGTTAGAGGTAAGGCTCGTTGCACGCGAGGATAAATAAAGGGCAGTGCTGGTCATAAGCGAGTTCCTTGGCACAGGGGTGGGCCGCTAATGCACACCTTAGACACCGCTGCTTGATGATGCTCATTGGTTCATTGGATACAGGGGAAGGAAGGTTCCAGTTGGTGCTCGAAGATTATTATTATTTTTATTTCCATTTCGACATGCATCTACGCAAATTATTTACTTTATTTTGATTACTTTGCAATCAGACTCGTTCTCAAACACACTTTTCGTGCATGTAAACAGCAACGCAGCATACTGGCGACATGCGCCCACTCAAAACTCAGAGATATGGCTTTCAGATACGAGTTCACTCTCAATTGGCTATGGCGACTTCAGCGCCCAAACATCTCACTGTTCACATACACTGGATCACCCTGG